TAATTTACTGTTGCTCTTAAAAGGTTCTTTGAAGGAGAAGTTTCAAACCATTAACTAAAAATCTCTGGGATTTATAGCTTTGTGTTTTTCCATTATTACTATTCATGGGTCTTAAGAAACCAAGGTACATTAAACAGTTCCATTTTCATTAAAATAGGTATTTCATAGCTTTGTTAATAGAGATGCACTTTTTCTTCAAGTGGGGAGTTGTTAGGTTGTATTTTATATTTATTTAAATAAATGCCTTTGAGTTTCCAAAATAGGTTTGATGACGTAGTCAAACTTTTTAACTTGAAATTTCAAGTATGTCTTGTAGATTCTAAATTAGACTAAAAAAAATCTGAGTATTTTCAGTGACTTGGTGACCTTACTTATAACTTAACTATCTTTTTAGCTAAATTTTAGTTCAGTTGATAATTTTAAGTGCAAAACTATGCATGGTGTGATCTCATTTTCCTATTAAAAAGTAACATGTTACTATATGAATGGGAAAAGGAATCTGGATTGTTAAATATCAGACTGTTAAGTGCTGTCAAATTAGAGCAGTAAGAGGAAACAATGGGTCCTGAGAAGTTTGTGTTTTCTTAACGGACTTGTATAGTTCTGGGCTAAACATCTTCAAAGGATGATAAGTTTTTTTTTTCTACTTCCTATTAGGAATTATTTCAAAGATTTTTAACACTTGTTTATATAGGATTATAAGAAGATTTTGTTTGCCCCAGGCCACAATCATTGGACTTTTATGAAAGTACTATCTCTTTTTAAAATGCACGGAGACCAGCAGATAGAAGATCCTATCTTAGTTAAGTCTTCAAAATAATTGTCTTCCTTGTGTCAGCAATGGTGTTAATAGCAGCTATGGTCAGTTAATACTGCAGATCTCTCTGCAAGAATTAATTGATTGAAATAGGTAAAAATACCTGCTCATGCCTTTGACAAGTTTATCATGATATATTTAATATATTGTGCAATTCACTTAAAGTGTACAGTTCAATGGTTTTGGGTAATACAGATAGGTGCATCCATCATCACAGTCAATTTTAAAACATTTTCATTAACTCAAAAAGAAAACCTGTACCTTTTATCACCTCCTACCTTACAGCCCTCCTCCCTAGCAGCCCACTCATCTACTTTCTATCTCAGTGTATTTGCTTATTCTGGACATTTCATGTAAATAGAATCCTACAATATCTACTCTCTTGTGTCTGATTTCTTTAACTTAGTGAAATATTTATGATGTTCATTCATTAAGTCACATGTATCAGTGTTTGTTTCTTTTTATTGCCGAGTTATATTTTATTTTATGGGTATACTCTATTTTGTCTTTTTATTCACTGGTTGATGGACATTTAGGTTGTTCCTAACATTAAACAACTGGGTAATGGACATTAAGTTGTCCTAGCATTAGGTTATTTTTGGCTGTTTTGGTAATTGTGTCCTGCTTTTTTCCATTGACAGTATATCTGGGCAAATTTTTAAAATTAACAGTTAAAAATCTGCATTTTTAAAAACTGTAGTCTTTTAAAAAACACCATATATATTTTTTATTGTAGTATATATGTCATTTACTTAACCAGTAATATTAATGGATTTTTTAAATTTTTTTCACTGTTATAAATAGTACTTCAGTAAATATTCTTCCACATTTATTTTTGTGTGTTTGTGTAGTATAGATTCTTAAAAGTAGAATTGCTGGATCAAAGGGCATAAATATTTACAGTTTTAGTAAAATATTAGAGACCAGAAGACATGTTTAGTCGTAGTTCTATTTGATAATAAAGGTCTGTTGTCAAGTTATTTGTGCGTTCATCATGTATTCGTAGTTAGCCAAGGAAAACAAGTTCTTGCTTGAGTTAACAGAATATGTTAAAGGAAAAAAATATTTTTGTGTTGAAAATAAGAGAAACATAGCCACTTCAAGGTCTCAGGTGATAAAATGGATGTGCAATTCAGTAATACTTTTTGCTATTTTACTTTTCTTTGAATTGGAGCCACCTACTAAAAATGTCAGTGGCTGCTGTAAAAATGATAGCACCTTGTGGAGGTACTTCTAGTTAAAAAAAATACTGGGTAATCTCAAACAGTGGCAGAATTATAATCTGTTAAGATTGTCAGTTTCAAGGGTGGTATCTCCCTGTTTCACCAGAATTTTCAGTGTTTTGTGCAGGTGAAGAAACTGAAGCCAAATGGGTCTAAACCTGAGCTCCACTGCTCTGTGTTCTTTATTTTTTGATATATAAATGTGTATATATTTAATATTTAGTCATCTGTTATCAAAGCTATAAATTAAGTTTTTGACAAGGTAACAATACGACTTGCATTCTTTATTGGACACTTTGAAATTTTTTTTTAGACTAAGTTGTATGTGTTTATGTGTGTGTGTGTGTAGAGAGAGTGCACTAGTGCCATTTGAAGTAGTAAAATTTTTGCTTAGTTTGTGCTAAAGGAAAGTTCATGAGTAGTAAATATTTGTGTTAATAATAATAAGTTTGTGAAATTATTAAAGAATAGTGCCTGGAGTCAGATTCAAGTTTTTCGACTTCAGTAAATGAATGAATCCCTAAATAGGAAGAAATGACAAGTGGATTTGTAATCATGTAGGGTGTTTGTTTTTAGTGGTTAGTGCCTTCTGAGGCAGGCTTCTTCTATATCACATCCTTATTAGAATGAGTTTTCCTTGTCTTTCCAAGTGAAGACCTGAGGGATGGAATAGCTAGCACTATTTCCCAGGGTGTGTTATTGCTGCTTTATTAATATTGTTATATTGTATTAAATTAATAATCCTCATTTCCTTATTGGGAATTTTAATTAATATGTTATTTGGATATCTGAAGTTCCTGGATAAAGAGCTTACTTCAAAGACTTCTTAATAAAAACCCAGATTTCTGAATATAATTTAACCTTTTCTTGGTTGCTTAACATTTTTAATACTTTAACAGTGAAGCAAAATGCTCAGGACCTTATTGCTCCAATTACTAGTGGTTTCCAAGTTCTCATCTCCTTTAAAAAAAATTTTTTTTTCTTTCTCTTGTAAGCCTGGTAAATAGTATTTCTAATAGTCTTTGTGCCGGGGCACCTGGGTGGCTCAGTGGGTTAAAGCCTCTGCCTTCGGCTCAGGTCATGATCCCAGAGTCCTGGGATCAAGCCCGCCATCCCATAGGGCTCTCTGCTTGGCGGGAAGCCTGCTTCCTCCTCTCTCTCTGCCTGCCTCTTTGCCTCCTTGTGATCTCTGTCTGTCAAATAAATAAATAAATATTAAAAAAATAAAAAGTCTTTGTGCCTATTTGAATAGCTCTTTATTCCCAACTCGCTTCTAATTTGAATATGCATAATGCACATTGGGAACCCAGGTAACCTGACTGGTTAGATATTTTTTTAAAGATAGATATTTATTGATTTGAGAGTGAGTGAGTGAGTGAGTGTGAGCACAAGTGGGAGTGGGGGGAGGGGCAGAGGAAGAAGGAGAGGCAGACTTCTTGCTCAGCAGGGAACACAACCCCAGCTGAAGCAGACACTTAACCAACTGAGCCACCCAGGTGCCCCCCAAATATGACATTTTATTCTATTTTTTTAAAAGATTTTCTTTGTTTATGAGAGAGAGAGAGAGAGAGCGCGAGCGAGCATGGGGGGAGGGTAGAGGAAGAGGGAGAACCAGGCTCGCTGCTGAGCAGGCAGTCCCACATGGGGCTCCATCCCAGGACCCCAGGATCATGACCTGAGCTGAAGGCAGATGCTTAACTGACTGAGCCACCCAGAGTGTCCGCCAAATATGACATTTTAATTTATCATATATATGGCAAAATAATTTTATGTTCGTTTACAAGCTTGTTAGAGATCACTTCAGCATAACTGGAAGTTTCTGTGTTTCCTGTTTTTGGCGAACTGTGAAAAAATTAGGGTTCATATTGTGTAATTCTTGCTTATTGTATTGCTATTTCCAGCAAAGATACTGAATTCTTCATTATGTTATTTTCACTGAAGAAGAAGAAAAACTGCCAATTGCAGAGAGAGTTATTGAGCTTAGTTTATTCATAGTTGTTTAAGTTTACTAAAAGATGGATTAGTTATTATAAACATTTTGTGGTATTGAATGTGTGATTAGTAATGGGCTGTCTTGACTCGGAAGTCAAGATTTACTTATTTTATTTTTTATTTTTATTTATTTATTTATTTAAAGATTTTATTTATTTGACAGAGAGACAGCAAGAGAAGGCACATAAGCAGGGGGAGTGGAAGAGGGAGAAGCAGGCCTTCTGCTGAGCAGGGAGCCCAGTGCAGGGCTAGATCCCAGGACCGTGGGATCATGACCCAAACCAAAGGCAGGCACTTAACGACAGCCACCCAACGACTGAGCCACCGAGGCGCCCCGAGATTTACTTGTTTTATTATTATTATTATTTTTTTAATTTTTTTATTTATTCGAGAGAGACAGAGTGAGAGAGCATGAGAGGAGACAAAGGGAGAAGCAGACTCCCCATGGAGCTGGGAGCCTGATGCGGGACTCGATCCCAGTACTCCGGGATCATGACCTGAGCTGAAGGCAGTTGCTTAACCAACTGAGCCACCCAGGTGCCCCGAGATTTACTTGTTTTAAAGCAGGGACTCTGCCTGAATAATCAGGAATCCCTTAGTTCATGTTGAAGGAATTGAAATGGGATTGATAATGTATTTTAAAAGATCCATGGTTACCTTTTCTAAATTATTCTGCATGTTGTTTTTTAAAATTTCAGACTTAATTTCACTAATAAACTCACATGAGTGATTATAAAATGTGTGCATGTGTGTTTAATGTGTATATATGTATATATAATAAATTGTAAACTTTGTCAAACTGCGTCATATTCCTTTGATACAGTTTGAAGTCCTATAATGAGCAACATTGGTTTAATTAACTCCAATGCTCACCTGAGCATTAGAGTTGCATATTGGTTAATATTGGTTGTTCTTAAGTCGTTTTGATCTTTTTTTGTTGTTAAACTAAAAATCTTCTTCAATTTTAGGGGGAAAAAAATAGTGGCTTTGATGTCCTTTACCATAACATGAAACATGGACAGATATCAACAAAAGAACTAGCAGATTTTGTGAGAGAAAGGTATGTATTTTTTTAATAAGTAATTTAACAGTTTGACTTAAATTTTAGAATATAAATGAGAAAAAAAATTGTTTTTGAGAGTGCATGCTCTAGTTAGGGGGGAATGAGAGAGAGAGAATCTTATGCAGGCTCCTAGTGTAAAGCCAGAGGAGGGGTTCAGTCTCAAGACTCTGAGATCACAACCTGAGCGAAAATCAAGAGTCAGGGGTGCCTGGGTGGCTCAGTGGGTTAAAGCCTCTGCCTTCGGCTCAGGTCATGATCCCAGGGTCCTGGGATCGAGCCCCACATCGGGCTCTCTGCTTGGCAGGGAGCCTGCTTCCTCCTCTCTCTCTGCCTGTCTCTCTACCTACTTGTGATCTCTATCTGTCAAATGAATAAATAAAAAAAATCTTTAAAAAAAAAAAAAAAAGAAAATCAAGAGTCAGACACTTAACCAACTGAGCCACCCAGATGCCCCAGAAAATTTTAGTTAGATCTGGATTAAAATAAGTATACTCTTGAAAAGTGTATTATTATATATTTTAAAGTAGTGTGATTATCTAGCGGCTACACACTAAGGACTGCATAGTGGCTCCAGGGAATATTGCTGAACTCCTGGTTTGTATTCATTGTTTATAAATATCATTACAAATGATATAAATATAAATACATAAATAAATGGAATTTTGTAGGATAAAATACTATCATTTCTTTAAACAAACATGTCATTAAACATACTAAAATAATTTGAAAAGTCTAAGGTTTTTGAATTTGTAGTTTAATTATGTATTATTTGTTTACTTATTTATTTAAATTTTAAGTAGACTCTGTGCCCATTGTGGGGCTTGAACTCACAACCCTGAGATCAAGTTGCATGCTCTACCAACTGAGCCAGGCATGTGCCCCTCTAAGTTTTATTTTAAAGAAGTATAAGTATATATTTTTAAATTCTGCAAGTTTATAAAAATGTGATTGTCTTTAAGACTCTTAGAATATAGTCATCAATTTAAAAACTTAAAAATTAATGTAATTTGATTTGATTAAAGCTTTTTTTGTGGCTAGGCCCACTTGGTAATTTTTATAGGAGCACACTTAAGAGGTAAAGAGTTTACCTTAGTAATGGGGGATATGTGTGTGTTTGTGTGTATGCGTTTTTAAGATTTTATTTATTTATTTGAGGGAGCATAAGCAGAGTGAAGGGCAGAGGGAGAAGCAGACTCCGTGCTGAGCACAGAGCCCCATGTGGGGCTCAATCTGGGGACTCTAGGATCATGACCTGACTGAGGGCAGATGCTTAACCAACTGAGTCACCCAGGAGCCCCAGGGATATTTTGCCTTTAGATATAATACTTCCGTTTTGGGGGGTACCTGACTGTCTCAGTTGTTGGGGCATGCTGCTCTCAGTCTCAGGGTCATGAGTTCAAGCCCCGTGTTGGGCGTAGAGGTTACTTAAGAAAAAAATAAAAATACAGTACTCCATTCATTTATTCTTTCAATAATAAATATCCCATGTCTGCTGTGTGCTAGGCACTGGTCTGGATTCTGGGAATATAGGGGTTAAGATAGAGCTGCTGTCATCATAGAATTTACCAGAACATAGGAATTGGGGAACAAGGTTTTTTATTTAAGACCAATCCTCTTTTCTCTTTCCCTTCTCTTTTTGAGTTAAGAGGGAGTCCAGAAGCTCTAAGTGCTGTGGATAAAGCTATCCTTCATTGGCTTCTGCATCATCCTTGGCAGGAATAAAGAAGAGGTCTCACAGTGCTGTGTCTCCTGGCATGTCCTGTTCTCCCCCAGCACTAACATCACTAACTATAACTACTTTGAAATCATCCAGGCAGTTGTCATCATGCCTTTTAGCCTGTTTATATCAGTCACCCTAAGAAGTCCACAACTCCTGAGTCATCCTTTTTTGTCTGGAATCTAATCCCTTTATGATTCTGTGGGCTCTTAAGACAACCCCTCCTTCCACTACCACTTTCCTAGTTTAATGTTTTCTTCATAGCACTTACAGCCATCAGATACGTGATATTTATTTGTCCGTCCCTCTCCTCTAGAATGTAAACCCTATAAGGGCAGGGATTGTTTTTTTCCTTTCCTTTTTTTTTTCTTTTGGTGGGGGTTGGTGCTTCTTACATCTCTTGCATTTGGGAGAGCGCTTGGCTCTTAGTAAGGATTTTTATGATAGAATGAATCTCTAACTTTACTGCCCTGATCCTAGCTATTATTATTGTTGCCTGAACTGCAACAGTAGCTCCTGTCTTACATAGCTACATTCATTCTTGTTCCCCTGCAACTTATTCCTCGCACTGTAATTGGAGTGCTTTTTCTAAACCTCAGAAAGGTTTGTTACCTCTCCTGTTTAAACCATTTCAGATTCTTCCTATTGCTCCGAAGGTGGGCCTGCCTGCATCTTGGTCTGACCCCAAACCACCTTTCAAGCTTTAGTTCATGCCAGTCTCTTCCTTATTCTCTTTCCTCTTCAGAGACATTAGCCATTTTTTTTGAAAGACATCTTCCAGTCCACGGTTTGTACATGCTTATTCCTGTTTTTGCCTAATTAATGCCTGCTTATTCTTCAGAGCTCAGCAATGTGGTCCCTTCTTCGTGGATGCTTTTCCTTATTTCCCTGACTCTGTCAAAAACACCTGTTATAGTATCTCTCAACATCATATATCTCTTTGCAGTATTTATGAAATTTTATAATTATTCATTTTTTATTATTCTATGTTTCCCTATAAAGGATATAGTATTTTTTTGTATCCTGGTGCCTAGTACAGAGCCTGGCACAATTAGATACTCCTATTTCTTGAAGGAATGAGTGAGAAAGAAGGAAAGAAGGATAGACTCATAAACATATAGTGTGCACTAAGGATTGTGTATACATTATCTCATTTAACTATGAAAACTCTAACTCCTGTTTTACAGATAAGAAAATTGGGGCCTAGAAAGGTTAATTTCCTGTCAGTCATTCAGAGTTTCTCTCCTCCTTTCATCCCTTCTTCCCTGCTGGTCTGTTCCCTTTTTTCCTCCTCCATTCCTCCTTTGCCCCTTTCTTCCTTTTTGTCTCTTCCTCCCTTACTGCTTTCCTCCTTCCTCTCTTCCTTCCAACAGCTTTATCAAAGTATAGTTGACAAATAGTATACTACACATTTAAAGTGTATAATTGGATAAATTTTGATGTATACATACACTCAGTGAAACCATCACCACAGTCAAGGTGGTGAACATATGCATCATCCCCTATGTATTTCCTCCCTCTTTCTCTCCCTCTTATCCCTGAGCACCCACTCATTTGCTCCTGACACTTAGGTTAGTTTGTATTTTCTAGACTTTTACAGGAATGGGATTATACTGAATATACTCTGTTATCCAGTACTTTCACTCAGTATAATTATGTTGAGATTGATCCATGTTGTTGCATGTATCAATACTTCATTCCTTTCTACTGTTGAATAGTATTCTATTTATGGATACCACAATTTATCCATTCAAATGGCAAAGGAAGTTGGTTGTACCTATTTTTTGAACTTTGTATTAAGTGTATCAATTTAATCATTATATTGAGTCTTCTTTTGTCTTCTTTTACTCAGCATGTTTGTGAGATTCATTTTTTTTTTTTAAAGATTTTTTATTTATTTATTTATTTAAGAAACAGAGATCATAAGTAGGCAGAGACAGGCAGGCTGAGGGGGGGGGGAGCAGGCTCCCTGCTGAGAACCCGATGCGGAGCTGGATCCCAGGACCCTGGGATCATGACCTGAGCCGAAGGCAGATGCTTTAACCCACTGAGCCACCGAGGCGCCCCATCATTTTTGAGTTTAGTATAATCATGTTCAATGTTACGTGATACTAAATTGTATAAATATGCCAAAACATGTCTACTACTGTTTACAGACATTTGGGTTCTTTCCAGTTTTTTTGCTGTTACTAGTAATAGTGCTTTGAATACTCCTGTACAAGAGTCTTGCTATACATATATGTATATTTATATTACGTATATACCTTAGAGTAGAATTGCCAGGTCATAGAGTTATGTATATGCAATACCAAAGAATTTTCCAAGATGGTTGTACCGGTTTACACCAGTAGCAGCCTTGTTTCAGAGTTCTAATTGTTCATGTCCTCATCACCACTTGGTATTGCCACTCTTTCAATTTGAATCATTCTGATAAGTGGAAGTACATGTCTCCCCCACTTTTCAGAAGTTGGTGTTATGCCACTTTGCTCTTATGAAAGATCTATATAAGTACCTGTTTTTGCTAACCAAGAACAATCCTTAGAGGATTTTTGCTTTTGCAAAAAATAGCAAAATGAGAAAATAATGTTTGGCATTTGTTTTGCAGTGAGCCCTTATGGAGGCGGTGTGTACAAGGAGAGTGGCGCTGCCAAGCTCCTTCCCTGGGAACTGTTTAGCATCTCAGTTTCATGCCGCCATAGTTTTGAACTGTGTTTGTGAACATCTGTGCCTTAGCTCAGTTTATTTTATGCATCTGTTAGCAAGATGTGCCCTACAGTATCAGAAAAGCTTAAGAGGGGTTATTTTTTGGGTCTGGTAAAGCTCAAAAATTTTTCTATGTAAATTAGTGGTAATTGCTTCTTTGCTTTATGCCATTTTGGCTTGTGAAAGATTTCATAGGAAGGCCGTACTTTTATTTTGTTTGTTTATTTATTGAAAAAGATTTTATTTATGTGTTTGAGAGAGAGTGTGTAGAGAGAGTATGAGGGGGGAGGGTCAGAGGGAGAAGCAGACTCCCTGCTGGGTGGGGAGCCCAACATGGGGCTTGATCTCTGGACTCCAGGATAATAACCTGAGCCAAAGGCAGAGGTTTAACCAACTGAGCTACCCAAGTGCCCTAGAAGGCTATACTTTTAGATTGTGAGGGATACCTGTATCTCATTGTGGTTTTAATTTGCATTTTCCTGATGGATGATGACCTTGAGCAACCTTTCATATGTTTATTAGTCATTTGCATTTTCTCTTTAATGAAGTACCTGTTAATCTCTTTTTTATAAAATAT